TTTGATCGTAAATTAAAATCATTCTCTAATGTGAAATAGTAATTTAATTATAAATTATATTTAAATTAATTTAAAATTTTTGATTCATTAATTGTAATTTAACTTTAAATAGATTTTACAATTTAATTATTATATTATCTATCAATTAAATAAATAGAAATATAAAAATTAAAGAAAAATGAAAAAAATGTAAAAAAGAAAAAAAAAGAAGAGTTGAATTGGTTCTAGTCAATTGGATTGATCGAGTTTGGGTGGATTTAACCGGGTCTGGCGAGTTTAAGTTGGTTTGGGCAGATTTTGACCAAATTTGACTTCAAATAAGTTATTATCATTACCCGACCTATTTTTAGAACCAAATCTAGTTTAATTGGTTGAATCAACTAAGTTGGGTCAAGTTTCTAAACAATGATATTAATAAGGAAAATGATTGGTACACTCTACAAAATTACACACTCTGTTATACACTAACGGTTTTTGTCAGTGTGTAACGGAATGTGTAATTATGCAGGGTGTATGTATTAATGTCCTATTAATAATTGAAATAATTATAATGCATAGTATACCTTATCATATAGGTTGTGCATAAAATATAAATAAACTACGAAGGACCTATGATACTAACATAAAGAGTCATTGCTTTTAAATAGGACAATTAAGCACTAAGAGCCTCTAAATATCAATATATATCATAGGAGTATCAATAGAGTTACATAAAAACATAGAAAAATTAATCTAAAGTTTTTTGTTTGCTGTGAGTGATTACACCTATCTTATCATCCAATCCTAACATGGGAGATCAGAAGACATGACGTTGCAGTGTCTCCTAAGACCATAATGCCTTGTCACCAGCCATCCAAAGCTCTCAGCCTATTGGTGGACAAAAATCATCCACATGCACTACAAGATTTGAAAATGAATAAATTTGAATATTTTTTTCCTTCTTTTATGTGGCCATCTGTTATTCTTGAACAAACTGCACATCAATGGAGTTCTTGGAGTGATATCCCTAAAATTCCTAGAAAAGAAAACTAAATACCCCTTTTGGCCCCCTCTACATTTGTCCTCCTTGGTCTACCTTCTTTCTCCAGGAGCCTCCCTTGCCCTAGACTTCAATCCATCCCTAGCATCCAAATACTGATCGCCAACCATCACAAATTAGCAGCAGTTCACAAGTTTTGCATTCAAAACCAAGTGTTTGGGGACCCCCAACCACTCCTTCATGGTGTACTAGACATGCGAACAATCTAGAAAGGTGGGTGGTTCCTAGATCAAACGTTGCCACCACCAACCAAAGCCCACACCTTGTGTATTGCCTATTAATCTATTATACCGCAACCAAATCGAATGAGTGTCTTAGTGAGTGGGAGCCCTGAATTAAGGACCATATTTGATCCCTATGTGGATGTCGATAGAGATGAAAAGAAGAGGAGGAGGCTCCTAACTAGAAGAGAGAAAACCTTAAGGAGAAAGCCTAACCTAACCCTAGTTAGGAGGTAAAACTCTTAAAAAACAATTTATTTATTATTTAGTTAGAATTAAATGTTTTGATATTTTTAATGTAAAAAATATTTTGATTTTTACTTCTTTGCACTTAAATTTAAAGAAAAAAATAAAAAGGGTGAACTAATTTGGGCTAGATTGACAACACCCCACCCATACAAATGTTTATGCAATGTGATATGGTATGAAATGAATTGATGTAAAACATTATTCATCCGTCTCCTCATTGCCTGAAAAAGAGTTAATTGAGATCATTTGTTTAATATCACTTTACATTGTACAAAATATTGTTACTAAAAAATCTTATCAAACTAGTAGAAAATTATCAAAAAATTGTATAGGATACAAAGCAAGATATAACTATAACAACCTACATATTTTCCCCAATATTTAGGGATCAATATAATTAAATATGCAAAACCTAATTAATGGTTAGGATTAATTGCCAATTATGGGGATTTATGATTTTTAAATTTTAGTTAAATCAAGGATTTGATACAAGGATTTTATTGGGGAAATTATTCCTATTAAAAAAAGGTTGAATCCCCATTTTGGTCCCTCTACTTTGACAAAAAGCCTCTTTTTAATCCTTCTACTTAAAAACCCCCTTTTGGTCCCTAAAGTTTGAAATGCGGCTCCTTTTTAGTCCCTCCATTAAGTTTTGCTTATGTGGCATGTTAGATAATGAAAATTTCAAGGTAGAGGGACCAAAAAGAGACTAAAATAGCCTTAATTTGGTCTCTCTACTTAAAAAAAAGCCCTTTTTTGGTCTATTTCCTTTGAAATTTTCATTATCTAACATCAAAACTTAATAGAGGGACTAAAAAAGGGTCAGATTTCAAACTGTAGGCAATAAAAAGGGATTTTTTAAGTAGAGGGACTAAAAAAGGGCTTTTTGGCAAAAGAAAAGGAACAAAATAAGGGTTTAAACTAAAAAAAAAAAAAGGCATGATGGGCAACAGACTTCATGTCTACCACCCCAACCCTAAATCCCTTCTAAAATCTACTATAGCCACTACCCACCTCTCTTGAAAGACTCGGGCCCATTTCTCCTCCTATAGTCCTTTGTTAAATATCTGCTAAAGAAATTCTTGTCATGACAAGCGAACTAGTTGCTATTTTTGCACCAAAAATTGTGCTCTATATACCTTGGTTTTTACTTGGTGTTAGCCTAGATATATGATGCAAAATAGCCACTAATCTAGGTTGTGTAAGATACATTTTGAGTGCTCCAATCTGTTGCTATTCCAAGTGTGACATATGTTGTTTTGGGCTTGTTTCTACCTTGTTTAAGGTGAGTGCAAGGAGCTGTATCTTTCTCCTTTATTTTCTAGTAAATCTTCATAGGTTTGGTGTTGAAATCTTGTTTAGATTGGGCCTTATCTTTTGTTACTTTCCTAACTCGAGATGCATAAGTGAATTGGCTTACATTTTGATAGTATGACTTTGCAGTAGTATTCTACCCATAACTCTTTATGTAGCTATCAAATTAAGTCAATTCTTGATTCTATGGAAAGTTAAGAGATAGCCCTACAATTTATCTGTTGAATGTTTAATCCAATTTAGTTGGTATCAAGGTGAAAACTTAGCTGCAAGTTATGGTTCCTAAAGGTGAATGAAACTAGTAGCCCGACCTTGTGTTAATATTTCGACCATAACTTTCTTTGTAGATGTTGGATTAAGGTGATTCTTCAAGCTATGGAAAGCTAAGAGATAGGGCTATGATTCATCTTTTGATCCTTCCTCCCAATTCCATTGATTTCAACGCATGAATTTAGTTGTAATCTCTAGTTCATAACCTAACCAAAACTTGCTATCTTGTGTCCAATTCTGAAATCTTGGACTCAATTATGCAACTTTTGGTTCTTGTGAAATCTTGATTCTCTAGAAAGTGAGGCAAGTGAATTTATAGTTTTGCCCTTGGTTTTAAAATATAATTTTAAGATATGATTTTATTGAGTTTGAGATGGTTGGCAGGATTAAGAACCCGCTTTGGTTTAGTTACCATGACTGAATCTCATTTTAATTTAAGTTGATTTTAATTGGTTAAGCAAGCCTATTTATAGATAGTTCTTAATACATGCTATTTGATTCTTGTGATACATGTTTTCTTGAAATAAGCATTTTTCCTTGAATTGCACTTGCTAACCTGCTTTCATCTCCAATATGGTCATGTTTTACTTGTGCCCACTAGTGGGAGGTTTATAAAAGTTAGCACATGTTGACATGATACTTGTGGAATTAGTTCATTCTTGTTGTACATATTATTCTGCTTGGGGGATTATACATTAGCAATCTTGCACCTATCAGTGGGAGGTTTATAAATGCTAGCCATGACTTATAGAGGAGACATCTATTTCATTCCCACACTTGTACCAATTTTCTTGATATTTGATTTACACTTGTTGGCATACTTAATTTTAAAATTTATAAATTAAAAAGGGAAAATCTAATATTCACTTATTGATTATATCTCATGTTTGTCCTTATCCATCATTTCAGGTAACAATATTAGAGATGTTAGAGATCAAGGTGTGTGACGGATACTTATTAGAGTCTGTTTGGACTTAGTTGAGACTTGAATTAGTTCTTTTGGTGCTATTAAAAAGTTAGAGGATCTGATTTGCAATTATTACATAATTTTACTTCGAAATATTTATTTCAATGTTATTGATACTGTACTGTACCAGCTGGTACGTATTAATTTTTTTTATTAAATTGACACAGTACATGGTTCAATTTCGTTTTGGTCAAATTTTGCCCGTTTCAATCAAATTCTGGTGTACTAGTCGGTATTTTGATGTATCGGTTGGTACACCGAAAATTGGTTAGCACAAATCAATTCAAATTTAAAAAGTGTAAATTCCATTTTTAGTCCTCAACTTTAATGTTTTGCATAATTTTCATCTTTTAACTTCTAATCTACTTTTTAGTCCATCAACTATGAAAAATGTATTTTTTTAGTTCTTTTATCAGTTATTCCATTGAGTTTGTATAAATATGCACATTTTTAGTTCCTTAATTAACTTAAAGTGGAGGGATGAAAAATATGCATATATTAGAAGTTGAGACACTAAAAATGTGTATTTGTAGTCCCTTTTGACAATTTTAGATTTAGACTTCTAGTTCTCAGCACTCATCAGTTGCTGCTCTTTCTTCTCAGTAATGTTTTGATTTATCTTTTGCATTCTTGTTATACTTAGAAGACACGATTTCTTCATTTGTGGAAGTATTTTGTATTGCAAATTGTATAATATTAAATTCAGAACACTGTTATGCTTTTTAATATTATTTTCATGTTCAAAAAAGAAAGAAAAAAATTATAGATATTTCATAAAGTTGGCCACTTTAAACTTGTTTTCAATTTATAGGAATATGATGGTTTTAAGTATTAGTTTATCTTATCATTATTTTAAATTTTGATATTTAATTTATAAAAAAATATATTTATGACAATAAATCCGAAATAATACGTGAAAAATTTTGGTATCTGGTATGTACCGTTCCAATAACAAAACCGATACGTATGCCGGTACGATATTGACAACTTTGATTTATTTGAATATTACTTAATATTAATAATAATAGAGGTATTACTAGACTTTATTTATTTGTATTCGATTTTGTGTAGCAAGTTAACTTGGTTCTGAGTTTTGTGCATTTGTGGGTTTCACTCACAAGTGTATAGTATCTGTTTCGCTCTAAGGTATGGGGCGTGACAATAACAATGGAGATATACAATGCCTACAAATATGGTTCAAGATTGAAAATTTGTCCTTTCTTAGCTCTCAAATTTATGTATGAAGAAATTATAAGGAATGAAGTGACATAAACATATATGTTTATTTAGGGAGAGAAACAAATCGACGAATATACATTTTATTGAATAAAGTTTGTAGAAGTGATGAGTGTGTTAATTAGAAACCAGGGAATAATTTTATCATACACAGTGCCATGCAGAGGCCGTGAGCAAACACCTATCTTGCCACCCTAAAGAGATTGCTTTCCCCTCATCCCTTTCAAAAACTCTAAACCATCCACCTTCCCCGTTTCCAAAAAGAGGACAATAATGTGTATTCCTAATCTTCAAAAGAAGCTTCGCCTGTATCAAACACTTAGAACTCAGCTTCATCCCCACAAATCCATGGCTCTCCATTCTCCCCCTCCATGTTTCCATATTCTTTTCATACCTCGGACACACTGGATCCTCCACCTTGTCACAGTTCAGCATATTCTTAATCTCTTTCCCCAAATGGTTCTTCTCAATGCTCAACCTCTCCGCGCTCTCCAAGGGAAGACAATCATCTAAGGAATCAAACATGGCTGCGTAGTAATGTAGAGACTCCATGAATCTCGACAGGAAGCTTCTTGGGGTTCTGCTTCCTTCTTGCTCTACCAAGATCACAATGGATGGCTTAAGCGACTCCACCAATTTCAATGAATCGGATATCATTGACGAGTTGTTGAGAGTGTTCAAATGAAAGCATAGATTCACCGCCACCGTCTCGTTCTTCTTCTTCCGAAGGTGAACGAGATCGGAATTAGACCCTCTTAAAATGCCTTGAAATTCAAACACCAGATTTCGAAACCCTCTTGCAAAACTCACCAGTCTGGTCTCAGTTTCCTGCAATTCCTCCAAGGTTCTTCCGTAGCCAGTTAACCTAAGCGATATACGGTTGCCTCCGGCGGCTTTCTCGGAGAGCGACTGTATAAGAGACGGCCACTGGAAACCATAGGAGAGGTCAAAATCGATTACATGCAATCCATTGTTGTTAACGTCGTACTCCCTCTCGAATGCCTCGAGTATTGCTTGATTTGCCGTGAAATGAGCAAACTGGTAATAAGGAGAAACCTGGTACAAACATGTGTATGCCTTGAACTCTTCTGCTACCGTTGGTTCCTTCATGATCATGCCATAAAAAGGAGACTTCCGGGTGAGGAGCCTGGCGGCCAGACCATCGGCGAAGTAGGCGACAACTCTTTGAACAGAGTCACCGGTCAACGAGACGGTCCGGTAGAGCTCCATGAGGTTCTCCAGGGCGCTGCTGACGTTGTTCTCATCCATGGCGGTAGCAGTTATGAGCAGTAAATGGATCAAATGGAGGCCTTTACCGTCTTCCTCAACCACCCCTTTTCGCTTGTGGTCTGGTTTTAACATCTCCTCTCTCACTTGAAGAAGATGGAAGATCTTTCCCTCATAAGAGTTCAAAGGATTAAAATTCAACATCGTTCTCTTCCTTTTCCTACTCTTCTCGCCGCCACAATCTGACACAACTGCAAGGCTTAGCCTCAAGAGTCCTTCCCCTTCTCTATCTTCCATTAGTGCACCTTCAAAATATATCAGCTATCAATTGAACTTGAACGGTTAAATCAAACCGGTTGCACAAGAAAGAATGAAGAATCGAGAAGGAGAAAGGGGTTTTTAAGGAAAGAGGAGAAATGGAATAATTTAAAATAAATTCCTTCGTGTCATTACATGGGAATGGAACCAAAGAGAAGTATAGGAGAGAATAGTAGAGATTTTTTTTTTTTTTTTGGGCTTTCTATGGAATGGGATGGGGAGAGATATATTTACAAGGGCATCTTTGATCGATCTTCATATTCCATATCATTTTTTGTTAATATGAAATTTGGTGAGATGCTTTGGGAAGTCATGAAAAGGGTTTTGATCCTGGGTAGTTCGAAAGACTCAAAAGATGCCATTTGAAGTCGACAAAAAACAGCGGAAATTTTGGGGGAATCAAAAACCTAACCGTCCTCGTAGACTAATTGTCCTTAATGTTTCCTTCTAGATGCCGTGGCATATGTACTTGTCATTTTCTAATAATAATTTCATAACAAAATATTGTTTGAGTGATCTTCTTTTACTATGTTTTTGGAGGAGAGTTAGTCTTGATACCGTAAGGAAAAAATTGCTTGAACTTGTCAAAAAGTAGATCGTCAATAGGTCAATACAATCCAAAGGAGATATTCTGCTGTTGCATCAATATGCAAATCCAAATGCCTAATTATGCAATTGACAAGAAAATGGCACATCGTACGCGGAACCTCCTTTTATGTGTATGTGCCCATCTCCATTCTGCACGCACATCATTGATTTTAGTTGAAACATATATTTCTTTCCGTGAGGAAGAAGAAAATATAGAATAAGAAGGTATCAACGGGGATATGAATGGAAAGAATTTGGCCACTACCAAAATTTCTTGCGACTATTCCAACCTTGAAGTACAGAAAGGACAAAGACGAGATAGTTCTTCTCATGTGAGTAAATTTTCTCTATTCATTTCAAGATTCAATTTTGAAATCTTCAATATTAAAACTTAAGTGTTTTTACCAAGAAAAATGATGTGTGCACACC